GTATGTTACTTTTGTTTATTTTAAAACATGGCATTTTTTTTGTTTTATTTCTCCTTCTTTTTCTCTTTCTTTCCATGTTTCATTTTTGTTTCATTCATCACTACATAGTTAGCCTCTGAACTGTCATAACTATGTCATTGGAATGTGCATGGTTACTTCATTTCTTCCCTAAGGGCTCCTTTTTAAAAGAAGAAAAAATATTAAAGCTTTAAGTAAAAGCAAAGCATTTGTTTTAAAGTTTCCAAATAGAGCTTTGCTTCTAATAAGACTGTTTTTCTTTCTTTGTTTGCTTTTGTTTTGTTCCAGCCTTTTCCCCCTCGCTATCCCCCCCGTCCCATAAATAAAAGTATCTGCTATCCCAGCAGAACTACTTTTTTTTTCTTCCTCAGTACATAAACCCCGAAATCAAACTGATACTAAATTTAGGGGGCCCCTCTCAACGGCATAATTTACTTAATGTGGCAGAACACAGTTTTATTGAGAGGGAGGGAGCGACGAGCTGTCCTACTGCTGCCAGCACGGAGCTGAGGGTCGTTAGAGGAGACAGTTTCAGTCCTCGGGTCTCTTTTCTCCCGCTCCCTCTCCCGCTTGCTCCCTGTCTCGCTCCCCCTCTCTTTGCGGAGCTGAGCCTTGGCGTCCTCCCCAGCGCTGCTCCTTCACCGGGGGCCGCGTTTAAGGCAGCTTGGTATGCCGGTTCTGACGGGAAAGCGAAAATGTTACTGCAAGGCCAGTTATAACTGATAATTAATCACAGGAGCCAGTGTCTCTGTACCATACACTTGGTGATACGCGCCTTGTGTATTACAGCTAATTTTGCACAATTGCTTGGCTCTTCTGGATGAAGGGAAACGGAAAAGGGGGTGGAAAAAAAAAAGAAAAAAAAAGCAAGAAAAAATAGAAAGAGAGAAACTTTCAGCTTGGATGGGGCTCAAGCAGGGGAGGGAAGTTCAACCTGGAGGTTTTTAACAGGGTGACTCCCTACCAGGGGATGTTTTGCCCTTCTGAAAACTGGTTTCCAATTATGGTCTGACACTGATGGATAATAATTGAAATATTGTGTTAGCCAGAAGAGGAGTTAGTAAATTTGTATATTGATATTAGACTTTTATTTAATGTTAGACATAAGATGAATTAAGTAATTTACCTGAGAGGCGTTGTACAGTAAGAAAAGAGAGGGAAAGTTATTAGGTTTTTATAGTTACAGTAACAAAGAATGCTTGAATACTGGCCATAAAACAATAATTTAATTAAAAAACCCACAAACTTTAAAGTCAAGAAAAACTCCAAAGCAGATAGTTAATAACCAATAGCAGTTGTCTATGGATGACCATTTAAGCAGTATAGCTCAGGACAGGATGAAGGCATTTGAATAAGGAATATTTTGGTATATCCTGTAGAGGGACCCTGATTACTGCTGATACAGTATGCTGGTATAGAATGTAATCAACGTAAGGCAAATAAGCAACCCTGTCCAATTTCCCATTCTTGAAAGTAAAAAAGTTAATTTCCTTGTAGAGATGCACATTTCAAAAACACTGCTTGGCACTAGGAAGTGTGAATTGCTGCTGCACTGCTTAGAAACATTATCAGCTGTATGCATATCTGTGATACATAACATATTTGGTTATATTGATATTAGACAATGGTACAGAAAGCAATTATCCAAATTACCCGCTGTATTCTTTTAGCAAGAAATGGGGTTAAATTTTAGGGGTTGGGGAAAGGTTCTTTCCATTTCAGCCACAAAAGAGTTAACATAACTAGATCCAGATAACAATCAATTGATAAATGACAAATGAACCCCATAAATAGTATTAGATTGCCTGTTTAGTATTAGATCTTTTTCAACAGATTTAGACTGTGTGGTCTCTGAAAGACTAGAAAATGTTCAACACTGACAAAGAAAGAAAACAAAACTAAATAGAAGAGCATCACAATGTGTCAAATAATTTGAGACAACTAGCTTATTAAACCTAGACAAATGTTTATACACATGGGCTAGGCTGTTTGGTTGCTATTTTCCTTTTTAAATAATATTTTTAATGTACTAATTCTTGAGTATTAATTGGATTTTTTACATTATTGAACATGCATGCTCATATTGTACAGTATATAGAAAACGAGAAGTAGTGTACTAAGTGAATAAACGTGTGGTGGATGCTACATCAAGGTGAATTGGTATACACACAAGTAGCACTGCAAAGGTGATAACGTGGAACAGATTTATTTCTTAGAAGTGTGTTCTTGATGCATTTGCATACTTGTTAATATCCTTGTCATATTTTGTTTATTTATCATGTGCTAAACATATTTAGTCCAAATATGCTTTCATCATTCTTTTAAGAGGAGGGCAAGTTATTTTGCTAAATGCATTTCTGTCCTCTTTAAGTATAACATTTTGTCTTATGTTTCTGATTTGTTAAGGCTGTTATAACTTGCTAGCTCACACATACTGTGTGCAAGTGCAGCTGCAAATTTGTGTCTAAGTGCCAGTGTTTCTTTATAAATCACTAAAGTCTTGACTATTGTTTTCTGTTATTTATTTTCATTCATTTGCTAGTTAATTATTTTCAATCCATGTTCTGGAAATGTAAGTATTTTTACAATTTCTCCTGTCTTTACGAAAAATTGTTTTCACAAGTACACATAACATGAAGTTATGAAATGTGCATAACTTGCAGCAAAGTTTGGCATGGTTTGAAAGAACTGTTTAATGAAACTTTTCCACCTATACATAGTAATGCTAGAGACATGTCTTTTTTAAATTTCTAAGTGTGATGCTGTTTTTCCATGTGTTTTTTAGAAGCAAACAAATTCTGAGCCCCATCACTTTTCTTGGGAGCTCTAACTTGAGCAGGTTTTTAGTGGAAAGATTGAAGCATGGCAAGAAGAATTATTTAGAACAAAACAAAACCTTGCAATCCCTCCCTCCTCTTACCTCTCAACTCACACTGCACTGCTCCTTGCATAATATAGAAGTGAATAACTTCCCTCAGAATAAAAGGAAAATCAACTTGATTGTGACATGTGTCTTAGAAAAATTAGGATTAAATATACAAGTTTGGGCTATTAATAGCAAGTGTAATGGTACTTATTTTGGGACTATTTTCTTTTGAGAATGGGAACACAAGAAAATGGTATCTCTGCATTCCAGAACAAATTTAGATTTTGGTGGGGTGAGAGGAGAAGTGAAATAGTCTCCTAAATTACCTGTGAGAATTTTATGACATGGCCACTTGACTGCATTGTTTTGCCTATGCACCTTTTGTCCATGTAAAAGTGTGTGATTCGCTTGAAAGGGGTCATCCCATTCTGTATACAGAAGAATGTCTGATAACCTCAAAGGGCATAAATCTTAACTTTTAAAAAGGAGTGCTACTTCGGGTCACTTTGATCAGTGACAGGTCGAGAATGAGCAGAAACCCTTGGCTTCTCTTCCATGCTCATTTGGCTAAGTCCAGGGCACGCACTGCCCATTCTAGTTCTGGCAAGGAGTTGTTAACAGAAAAGAAGGTCTGGATTTGATTGATTAAAAAAAAACAACAAGCAGGCTTTTGTGATTGTCTGCTTTCATAAATGTTTTGTGTATTTGTTAGAATAAGAAATGTCATTTTTCTTCATCTAGTTACCTTAAGGGCCGTAATGTTCTAAAATACTTTAAAGTCATTTCAGAAATGAGACCATAAGAGAAATGGCTGTAACACACAGTGACACAAAATGCCAGAGCCATCTGCCTTTTTGCTGAGAAAGAAGTATTTTTAATCCATTTCAGATAAAAAGGTAATAGCCTTTCCAGAAGCTATTTTCAACATGAGAGTGAAAAAGCAGTATACAGAATTATAAATGGATCTGTGCATCATTATATAGTAATTTAGGATTCACTCAATGATGTAACAAAATTAACAACATAATTTCATTGTGTAACTGTATCTTATTAAAGAACAACTGACTGACATTCTCTTACAGTTGCTTTATTTAACTTCATGCAAATATTATTAGTAGTGACATTTCTCTATTGTACATTAGATTCTCTCATTAGCATGATGTGTTAGTTATCACCAGAGAAATCACTTCTAGATAGGTGAGCAAGAAGCCAAGAAAACTAAAAATTAAATCAATGATGTATATTAATATAGACGCATCTGTTCATGAGAGATATGGTACAGTAAATTCAACTTTTTTCCTTGCATAAATGCATGATTATTCCAAGGAAAACTAAATAATCTTTAAAATACGTGAAGTATGCATGAATATTGCTAGAAATACTAAACTGCGTACAAAGTGCACTGCCTGTTTTGAGCTGCACTTATGTTCTTCCATCTGATAGTTCCTAACATTGATGTAAACATAGGCACATAAACTGTTTATTGAACCAGTATTAAAAAATAGGACCGTAGTGTAATGTCTAATAGATTGAAGGTAAAAGCTTTTTAAATGTTTCTGGGCTGCTGATTGTAGAGGTTCTATGCAATTTTAGCATATATTAAGTAATTAACTGTTTTACTGTAGTATATAACTATTCTTTTACTATAGGTGCAGATGTAAAAAGTTGAAACCTAATTTAACAACAGGCTGTAATACCATACATTGATTTACTATGAACATTTTGTGAGGAAGATTAACATTGGTAAAATGCATTTTGTAATTTAACGTGGGTAACAATCACGTTTGTGAGTAAGCATCAGCAAACATAACTATATATATCTTTATTACACCAATTCATAGCATAGCGGTAATAGGTGGGGTGGGATTTTTTTGTTGTTGTTCATGAATAAGTTTGTGTGGTAGTATGAATTTAGAAGCTTTATCAGGTTATGTTGTCTTATTTCAGATGCTTAAATTTTGTTGGGTATTTTGGTAAAGCACGGTTTAAATGTGTGCTGGTCCTTTTAGCAAATTAAAAATATTTGCATCAAGAATTTTTTGCTGCTTCTGAGGTGCCTCAGAATAGAGGCACGGAAAATACTGTACATGACAAAAATGCAGGATGTATACAACTA